TCGGACCAATATCGGCAGTTATGACGATTTACTACGCCATTAAGGATTCGATGCATTTTTAATTATTTATGACAAACTAACGTTAAAAAGTCAGTATCTCGATAATTTTTAGAAGTAGGCAGGGCGTGCAAATATTTTTGAAATTGAATGCAGAATAAGGTTAAACGTCAATTAGTTGACAGTTAGTTTTGTTGTCTGTTGAAACCTGAAACGTTTTTGTTGCAATTGTGAATGCACGAAATTTAGTTTCTTTTGCCTGTTTTTTTTTTGTAAGTTTTATAAAAGTGCCATTTTTATTCTCCAATCAAGAGCTGGCGGATATTCATTTTGTGTATGGCTTTCTAAATGGAAACGCAGTAGAAGCAGCCAGAGAATACGCCACGAAGATTTCCAAACAGACGACATCCAACTCGCTCAGTATTTGTAAGAGTGCATCGCCAAATAATTGAAAATGGTTTTGGAAATCTCCAAAGGGATCAAAACGTAAATGTTCGTCAGCGCAGATTTACCCGTATGATTCTGCGTGAGTTTGATAGAGATCCCACCACAAGTGTTAGGAGAGTTCTGGTGCCTTGGGAATTTCAGCAAGCCATGTTCACCGTGTCTTAGAAATGACCATAGACGTCCTTACCATTTGCAGCCTGTGCAAGGACTACAGCCAGGGGACGGAGAACGAAGAATCATTTTGTCATTGGATTATTGATAGAACTGATAATAATAGGGAGTTTTTAATTAACGTTTTATGGACCGATGAGTCATGCTTCACTAGACGTGGAGTGGTAAATTTTCATAATCAACATATTTGGTCGCATGAAAATCCGCATGCAGTTCGGGAAAGAAATTTTCAGCATCAATTTAGTGTGAACGTGTGGATTGGTATCTACCGTAATCGACTATTTGGACCCTACCTTTTGCCTGTAAGGTTAAATGCTGCGACCTTCTTGGAATTTTTAAAGGCTGCACATGCAATATGTGGGATGATGTTATGTTAGATTTAGAAGATTGGCCTGGTTCCAGCTTGATGGTTGTCCAGCTCATTATTCGAGAATAGTTAGAAACTGGCTGGACGAAAATTATCCAGAAAGATGGATCGGCCGTGGAGGACCAGTCGCCTGGCCTCCACGATCCCCTGACCTAAATCCATTAGATTTCTTTGTATGGGATTTCTAAAAGAAAAAGTGTACCAGACTCCCGTAACTACAACAGATATGCTAATAGACAAAATCAGGAGTGCATGTGATGAAATAGGCCTTATTTGAATAATGCTATACCACGTTCGATCATTCGTAGATGTGAATTGTGTATTGAACAATTGGGTTTACATTTCGCGCAACTACTTTAGATTTTGTATGTTGTCCTAACTATCCAATAGCATTTTAGTTGTAAATAGTTAATTATATTTTTAAATTATTGCTGCATTTAAAAACACAATCTAAACGATCATCTTAATCACTTGTAATGCCCAATCAAAAATATAAAAAAATATTATTTTCCCATAAATAATTAAAAATGCCTCGAACCTTAAACATCGAAATATCTCAAAAACGGCTAACTATAACGAAAACTCACAGGAGAGCTTTTTTATGTTGAGAAGTGCGAGGAATCAGTTTTTTTATTCAAAAAGCAAAAAACTGCAAGAAAAAAATTCCGGTCATTTTAATACACTACAGGTACAGTAGAGAGCGGATACAGTAAAACTATGCCCAGGGTTCGTTTTGTCGTATCAAAAAACCCTTGTATACCAATTTTCACTGTTATACATCAAATATTGTTCGAAATATTTAAAAAAAACTATTTTAGAAAGTAAATTTAAAACACCCTGTATTTCGGAAGCCACGCATTTTTCGACCCATGTTTATATAGACTTTATGCATTAATTTTAAAAGTTCTATCGAATCTTAGAGTTATGCAACAATAAACTGAAACACCCTGTATACAAACAATATAAAACAGCAAATTCATCACATGCGATGATACACAAGTATACTGCAGCTTCGTTATTAACGATGTTGTTCCTTCTTTTA